CTGTCCCTCAGCTCTTCAGCTCAAGGCTAGCGCTCTACCACTTGAGCCACAGTGCCACTTCCGGCTTTTTTCTTTTTGCTTATGTGGTACTAAGGAATCGAACCCAGGGCCTCAGGCATGCAAGGCAAGTGCTCTACCACTGAGCCACCTTCCCAGCCCCCAGGATTTTTTTTTAATTGGCTGTACTAGGATTTGAATTCAGGGCCCTAGTCAGGTATACTAGTATTTAAGCCATGCCCCCTGCCCTTTTTTATTTTCAAATATCCAGGCCAGCAGTCCTCCTGTTGATACTTCTCATGTAGCTGGGCATGACAAGTGCACACCACCAGCTTCTGTGGGTTGAAATAGGTTCTCACTAACTGTCTACCTGGCCTCACATCATAATCCTCCCGAAGTCTGTCTCCTAAGCAGCTTAGACCGTGGCTGTGAGCCTTCACACTGCAGCCAGTGTTTCTTGAGTGAAGCACATTTATCAGGCAGCCTGAGCTGTCCTCACTGTCTGGGAGGTTTCTCTACTCACTACTGACATGTGTGATTATGCTAGAAGGTAGGCCTGAGGAGGCGTCCTGGCCATGTCTGAGTGACCCTCTCTCTGCCCCTTCCTGTTCGGAGGTTGGTTGACTTCAATGATTCAGGGCCAGCACTGGTTCTGGGTCGCTGGTCCTTGTTAATAGCAGCCTCACCCTTTTTCAGTCCTTGGGGCTGTGGGACCACAGTCCTTGTTTCCATGCAGCAAGCATATCAGAGCTGCTGGGGGCAGGGAACAGTGCATTGCTGTAGTCAAATCTTTTGACTCTAGACACCTCGGAGCATGGAAGGTCCTAGAAGGACCACAAGAAACACAAGGTTGGAGGTCAGAGACTCTCCCAAGGCTTCCTTCTGGCTGTTGGAAGATTCTGGGTACAAATGCCCAGAGTAACTTCATTCTTTGTTTCAAATACTGGTAGAACACCCAATGGGGATGAAGGTGACAGGCTGCTAAGAATCCCCATCCACTGCTTCTGCACAGGACTCTGGCCTAATCATCACAGACCTTCCCCAGAGCCCCATACCAAGAAGCCTGGGCAGAGACTCAGGCTTCTTATGATGATGAGCTGTGTCTGTCCCAGAACTTGCACCCACTTCCACCCTGACCTACGTAAGCAAGTCACTGAGGCAGCCCAGACCCAGGAGGGAGCCAGAGGGCCTTAACTACCTCAGCATCTTAACTACCTCAGCATCCGTGACAAAATCACATTGGAGCTCAGCTTATGGAACATTCCATCTGGTATTTTGAGTGGGTACAAAGGTTGATTCCATGATGTTCAGAATTCCTTCCCATAAGGCTTCGTGAGTGGGGAAGTGTTTCATCAACACCTGTGAGGTTGTGACAGTAGAGTCCTTGACAGGGCCATCTAAGGGCACCTGCCTGGACTGGAGTGGGGTACCTTGTCACTGGTAACCACAGAGTGTCCGAGGCCCTGTGCTGCCTGTCTCTCCACAGCAGCCCACAGAAGGCTGTGAGGCATTGGGTCTCCTTCTCCAGGTAGGGGCATCTCCTTTGCTCCACCATTTCAGTTGGTATGACTTGTATTTGCTGCCTATCTGCGGCAAAGTTTTACCAGGATACAGTTTAAGCAGCCAGACTCCTCCTACCCTAGTTCCCTACTTCCCTTCTTCTTGTCCCTAACATCTGCTGAAGATCTTGAGGCTCATATTTTGATACTCATTACTGTGTCTCCGAATCATATCATTTGTAGTACTGCAGTTTGGTTCTTCAAAAGTCAGGTAGTATCTGTTTGGTTTCTGCTGTTCAGGGGAGGCGTTCATTCTCCGTCCTCAGCCATCATTCTTCTAGAAGATTCCAGTCATGATTTCATTGGATTGATGTTCAGTGATAAAGATAAATGGCACTTAGTTTGCTATAGTATATCTGTCAGGTTGCTCAAAAGGTTGAGGTAACTAGCAAAAAAAAATGTCTTTTAACATATATTATGGAGAATAAGAACTTTTCAAATTAAGTCAGGCACACTAGTGGCTCATGCTTGTAATCCTAGCTACTCAGGAGACAGAGATCTGAGGATCTCAGTTCCAAGGCAGCCCTAGAAGACAAACCCAAGAGACTCTTACCTCCAACTAGCCAGCAAAAACACTGGAAGTGAAGATGTAGTCAAGTGGTGGAGCACCAGCCTGAGCAAAAAAGCCAAGCCAGAGCAGAAGGCCTGAGTACAAAGCCACAGTACTGCCCCTTCCCTGTCCCTCACCCCCCAAAAAAGAACGTAACTGGGAAGGACCGTCAAGGCAAATGTGTGTGAGGTGGTCCTAAAGGGGACATGTAAACATGGCCTGGGAGTTCTTTGTCCCAGAAGCCAAAAGGAAAATAAAGAAGAACATAAGCAGCAGTGGCAGACCCTGGTCGGGTGCCAGCTATGGCTGGGGGGAAGTGTGGCACAGCTCCTAGTAAAGGGACCTCTACATGTAGGGGTCTAAAGGTACAGAGCTGACTGCTGGGGAAATAGCACTCTCCTACTGTCAGTAGCATGGCTGTTAGATTGTCTAAGAGTCTGAGAACCTGTCCTTATTAGCTAGGGCAGAAATCCCAGAGGTCTTGGGAAGCCGTCAGACTGTATACAGAGCTTTGGGATTTGGATTTCCCCAATCAGCTGGGGAATCAGGAGCTGCCCAGCCTCTTGAATTGTTGATGTCACAGATCAGACCAAGTGCTGAGAAGGAGAGGTGAGGTCATTCTAAGAACACAGTCTAGTTGGGGAGGTTTTGTGAAATGGCCTACACACTTGTTCCAGAGAGGAAGCCATGAATCTTCTCAGTCACGTTATCCTGGCCCCTGACTGGGCCCACCTAGCCTCTGTCTGAGCTGCTCTTTGCCTGGCACATGCCTTCCTTCCAGGGCTAAGCACAGCCGGCCTTGTTTTCCCATCCCACATTCCCCAGTGTGGGAATGAGCTTAGGATAGGAGAGTGGTGCCACAAGAGGGGAGGGAGAGGTCGCTGGTGGCACTCAGAAAAGGCCAGGGCAGCCTCTGCATGGCTGCCCCACCTCCGCTGCTGGATTCCAGAGCCCTGGGGTGATAGTAGACACAAGGCTTGTCTTCTAGGTCTGCCTGAAGTACTATGAGCACGAGTTTGTAGAGTTGGCTTGCCAGTGCCCTGCTGTGGTGTGCTGCCGCTGCTCGCCTACCCAGAAAGCCCACATCGTGACCCTGCTCCGTCAGCACACGGGGAGGCGTACCTGTGCCATTGGTGAGCCTACCCAGCCTTCCATGGGAGTGGGGTGTGCCCGCGCCACTGCTGAGCCTGCCTGGTCCCCTGCGGCGTCCCCCAGAGCTCAACGATAGCGAGTGAAATGTTAGGCATGCCCAGCCTCCTGCATATCATCTCTAAAAAAGATTCTTGTGTGTACATTACTGTGAGTTTTCTAAATAGCCCGTGGGTAGTAGAAAAGAAACATGTTTTCCTTCATTCCAACCTCTCTGCGTCTCAGGTGACGGAGGAAACGATGTGAGCATGATCCAGGCGGCCGACTGTGGAATTGGGATCGAAGGAAAGGTAGCGTTGGCCTTTGTCTATGCACATGACACACACACCCATGTAGCTGGTCAGCACCCAGGAAAGAACCCTACGCTGACGGGCCCTGAGCCCATAACTCTGGTGCAGCAGAGACATCAGAACGCTTGCCGAAGGCCTCACTCTGTGCCCCGTGGTCACCTATAAAATGTAAGAAATGTGCACTCATGCCTTAACCCCAGCCTCCCCTTGTTCTTGGAAGTCTTACGGTAGCTTCACATTCTCACCTGTGCTCGGGTCCCCAGCACACCCCTCTTTGCTTCCATAGCTCCTGAGCTCCTCTCCCTGCTTCCCATGCCCCATTCTCTGCCTCGGTGTCCCTGTCTCCTTCCAGCCAAGCTGTGGTGGAGGCTTCTATTCTTGCCAGCCTTGATTGTTATCTTTAGAGTCGCTCAAACCAAAAACAATACTACAAGACCTGGGAAAGTAGCCCAACTAGAGTTTGGCATTTCCTTGTTCTCTGGGGCCTTACAGCAACTGTGAGAAACAGGAGGACAGTTGTGAGCTTACTGAGGTTTGTGGAGATGGTTCTGAAGAAGCCTGGGCTCTCAGGTAGGAGTGAGCAGCCCTGTGGTCAGTACCACACTATTTCGCTACTTAATCCTTGTGTTGCTAGTAGAATGCTAGAGTCATTCTTCTCTAGAGCATTTGTGAGAAATGACTGATGTCCATGTTCAGACACCCTTGGACAAGTGCATGAGTTCCAGTGCAGGCTCCTCCACCTTCCTTGTTTGTGCCACTGTGGTGGATGAGCCCTCTGAAGCTTCCAGTGTTGTGCAGAAAGAGCAGCCTGCCCTTCTAATTCAGACCAAGCTCTGACACAGCTTTGGAGTGTGAGGCTCTCAGCATGCAGTGTTTTGTAGAGGTCTCTGCATTGTTCTGTTGCAGGAGGGGAAGCAGGCCTCGCTGGCGGCAGACTTCTCCATCACGCAGTTCAGACACATTGGCAGGCTGCTCATGGTACATGGGCGGAACAGCTACAAGAGGTCTGCAGCACTTGGCCAGTTTGTCATGCACAGGGGCCTCATCATCTCCACCATGCAGGTACCCAGCTTGTGCCCCATATCCCAGTAAAGGTAATGGTCTCACTCCTGTAACCCTGGCTACTCAGGAAGCTGAGGTCTGAGGATCATGGTTTGAAGTCAGCTCAGGCAGGAAAGTCCACGCGACTCTTTAATCTCCACTTAACTACCAAAAAGCCAAAAATGGAGCCATGACTCAAGTAGTAGAATGCTAGCCTTGAGCAAAAAAAGGGTGAGGGACAGCACCCAGCCCTGAGTACAAGCTCCAGGACCAGAGCAAAGAGAGATGATCTCTACTGCAGACTGAGACAGTGGGGGAGAATCTGTGTCTACGTGGCTTACTGGTACAGCCAGGCTGGCATAAGTGTCAGCACCAGGGACTTGGGAGAGGCTGTATGCAGAGGGGTATGAGTGTGACTGACAGCACTTGGTTTTTAATCTCCGGTGTTCTTTCTTCTAAGGCTGTGTTTTCTTCAGTCTTCTACTTTGCATCTGTCCCCCTATACCAGGGATTCCTCATGGTGGGGTAAGTCAAGTGTGGCACTTGGGGTGCCTTGCAGCATCATATACAAGAGGATTTTATTTTGGAAAAACGTGTAGAATATTAAGTAATATTCGAATAATTCTCAGCAGATTTTGTTTCATGGAGAGACCATGCTTTGTGTCGGGAACTGCATCAGGTCTGACTGTGATTTGGTAAAAGGGTCATATGGCATAATAAGCAGGGGCCAGAGGCCAGTTGGTGCTGAGGCTGCCACCTGCAGGCCCCAGCTGCAAGCCGCCTGAGCCCACACAGCTTCATAGGGGGTGGGACAGCCACCTCGATCCCCGAGATGACCTAGTCGCAGCTCACGAGGAGCGTGACACCTGTTCACAGGCAGTAAGTGAAGCGTGAGGCAGGAGCCGTGACCACAGCTGAGGCAGTCCTGCCCACCAAGTCTGCAAAAGAGGAATTTCTTCCAAACAATGAATAACGTGGAATCTCCCTTTCCTTATCCTCTGTGGTTTTGCCTAGAGTTACAGTCAGTATTAATGGTTTGGCATGAATAAAAGCTGCTCTCCACCACTCTTCTTCCAAGTTCTGTAAAGCTTGTTCACTCACCTCAAACCGAAGAAAATAACGGCCACAACCACTGAGTGTTGCCTGCTCTGCTCAGAGCATCGGTCTCCCCTTCCCCTTGCCCCATTCTGCATGTGAGAAGAGGGTTCAGGGCAGTTTACAAGAGCAGTAGCCCAGGCCTCAGCCAGGTAGACTTACCAGGGTGCTGCCATCCACACTTCCACACAACCCCTTCCTCTCTCCAGGCCAGCTGAGAACAGGCAGGCAGGTGCCTCCTGAGTCTTCCTCTGCCACATCCAGCCTTGCTCCAGGCAGGTAAATGCATCCTAAATGCTCTCTTCCTGCAGCTCCCTGAATCCCCAGAATCCCCCCAAACTGTAGCAAAAGACAGAGTATCGCATGTCCCGCTTTCAGGACAGAGGAGGTCCCAATTCAGAACCAGTGATGGATGCTGCAGGTCCTCCCTGGAGCTTCTACCTCCTCCCACCTCCACCCCCCTTCTCAGAGCACAAGCTGCATATCTGTTATTCTTCCATGGTGGCATTTCCCTCTCTTAAAAGCCCATGTAGTCAGGTCAGGCTCATCCAAGTAAGCCGCGGTAACCTCTCATCGCAGCTTAGTCATGATACGGAATCATACTGCGGGAAGACCGTAGGTATCTGGGAAGCCATTATTCTGCTAACTGCATTATAGTACAGTGAAGAAAAAGAGAGCCTCATGTCCCAGACTCAGGTGTACACTGCCTCCCATAGTCACTGGACACACGCAGCCTGAGCCCTGGTTTCCTCCTCTAATAGGAAAATGTAATATGAAGCTTGGAGAGGCACTGTGTGGACTACAAGTGTCAAGTTGTTAGTACAGAACTCAACAAATCATAGATACTAAGGGGAAAAAAGAAATTAAACATGTCCCTACCATATTGTCCCATTTGGCATTCCTGGCCAGAATAAGTGTTAAGCTATCTTCACAGTAAATTCTGGATAATGAAGGTTTAATTTGTAATAACATGGTCCAACCGCTTAGGCTGCCCCACAGATAGAGGAGGGCATCCTCACTACACCCACAGCCTGCATGATCTCTAGGGACCTGCATTAAGTTGAAAGCCAGTCCCCAAAGGTTACTGGCACAGTAACCCTAAGATGACAGAGGTGGAGGGGAGGCCCGTGGCAGGCCAGTGGGGAGGCGGGCGTGGCTGTGGAGAGTACTGGAGGGCTCACTGTTGGACTGACAGCTGTCTGTGCGTCCACAGCGATCTAGGTGTGGAAAGTGTCACAAGGAAAATCGATTTCTGAATGGATTTTTTTCCCTATAGCATCTGTACCTTATAGAAAATAAAATAAGTGTGGTGGTATTTACACCACTGTGCTGTTAGTATAAATATCTGATTTTCCTACTTGGTTGCCGACATGTTTTTGTTTTTATGAGATTTTGTTTTGATTTTCGAAACTTTGACATGCCTGTGATTCTAGTGTTATTTGTATATTCATGGTGGTGCTCTAGGCACTTACCAGGCTTGACCTAACTGAGTCTTCTTGATTTCTAAGGTATGCAACTATCTACACCATGTTCCCAGTGTTCTCTTTAGTATTGGACCAAGATGTGAAGCCGGAAATGGCAATGCTATACCCAGAACTCTACAAAGACCTCACCAAGGTATGACCCCGGGACTGTCCTCTGGGTTAGGCAAGAATGAGAAAACATGTGCATTTTGAATAAGTCTGGTCTCTCCTCATTTCTTCTTCCAGTTAATTTTGAAATTTCCATTTTGAGCTAAACCTCAAAGAAGGAAGTGTTGCAGAAAACAAAATTACTCTCAAATGTTTTGCAGTAGAATGCTCATATCATGCATAAATTCAGTATTTTAAAGGATACACGGAACCATTGTGGAATATTTATGATATAATATTTTAGCAAACAGACTTCCAGTCTTCCCGGGTACCTAGAAGAGCCCAAGCCTTGATTTCCTATCAAGGGTGCTGGCCAACTGTAGATGTACCTGGCTAGTTATGTCCCTTCTGAAGGGACAGCTTTTCTTCCGCTCACTGCAGAGTGCAGTGCTTCTAAAATAGGAGTCCATTGAGTTACTGACTCAGTACTTCCTTTCCACCTCAGTCTCTGGTTGTGGATTCAGAATCACATGTGAAAAGTGGCTGACAATCAGTCTTCTGCTGAGACACACAGCTTGTGCAGATATTTTGAAGAAGAATCTTTTCCCATAACTCTGCCAAGCCAACCCTGCCCACTCAGCTTGAAACTATACTGTATTAAGAGTAGAAGATTCTGCTGGGGCTTTTAAGTGTATCATGTCTTTATGTGGAAGCATATTTTTAAAAGCATACAACCTTAGTTGTAAACAAAAATCTTAGTTCTCCCAGTACAAACTGTGGCTAGTATTCACTGAGTCAGCACTGAGAACAAAATCTTCTAACCCTCAATTCAATGCAGGTTTATAATTGATCACCTGAAGTATCAATCAGATTTTTAAAGCTGTGAGAATATGGTGAGGTGAAAAAAAAAATTAGATGAGGTATTAAAACTTGATGCCAATCCAGCTGATCACTAACTACCAGACTATACTTTGTCCAGATGACTACTAACAGCCTTCTGTGTACTCAGCTGGCCATTAAGATTAGCGTACTGCCCCAGCTGACCTCTAATCTAACCATACTGGAGTCCAGCTGACCAATACCAGACTGTACTCTAGCCCACCTGTCCACTAACTAGCCAAAGAGTTGCTGGATGTTTCATGTTACCTTTTAGATTTCATGGCGTTATTGAAGAATCTGATGAAATAAGACCTTTAAATTTCTTATAAGAAGTTCAAAATGTCCACACACTTCTCTTGGGACCAAAATAGCAATAGAGCATAAGACAGATTATAAATGTCAAGTGTTATTATCATACTGATATATCATTTTGACTTCCAGGAAAGATTATTACACATATTACAGCTATAAGACATACTTTTGACCTAGTTCCTAAAACGATGCAACCATATGGAGTTCATGGAATGTAAAAAAAAAAAAAAACTGCAGGAAGTTATTGAAGATAATTGCAGTAGTTTATGCCTTTCCTCCTTCCCAGTCCTCTGCAAATGTGGCTTAATCCCACCTCATAAGTAGCAGATGGAAACAAGCTTTCCATGTCAGAATCCAAGGATCAGTGTCACTGCCCATGTGCTGCCCCAG